GGGCCCCTTCAAGAAGATGGGGCCACGGCCCCGCATCCACCGTTGCACCTGGGGCAGGCGGCGGCCGACCTCGAGCTTGAGATGCGCGTGCCTGCGATGCCGTTTGCCGTTCCTGCTGCTCCTCTTGTCGGTTGTGCCAGAGGGGTCGAGGATCGGGCCCCTGGGCTGGCAGCTGTTCGAGCCGTGGCTGATCCTGATGGGTTGCCGTTTGCCTGGGACAAGGTTTTTTTTTTCCATGGTGGAGTCGGAGCTTCTGGACAGGTGCGACATAGTGGGACATCGTCGGCGACGGTTTACAGGGCGCGCTGCCAAGATCCAGAGCGCGCTCAAGTCGGCCAAGTGGGCCCCTCCTGCGCGACGGGCCCGGCTGGGCAGAGAGGCGCGGGCCATGAAGGTCGCGTCTAGGTGGGATCGACATCTCATGGATGTTCGCGCCCATGCCCAGAAGTCTTTGGTTTTGCTGCGTCGAGCTGAGCTTGCGTGCGCGTTGGCACTCGCGAGTTTCAGTAAGATCGCGGCCGTCCTTCTTGAGGTGCAGTTGCGATGGTTTGCTCTCGCGCCAAGGTTCTTTCTTTCTCGGCAGAGGACGAGCAGGCTTTCTTCGCCGGCGGTGCCGGCATCCTTGGCAGGGGCGATTTTGCTGATTTTGCCGGCGCGATCGCGGAGCGCTGCGTGGAGCGCAATGACAAGGTGGCGGAGGTCAACCAGGTTTCGTGGATTAGTCTTGCTCGCGGCAGCTTCGCAAAATGGGCTTGCAGAGCGCGCGAATCCACCGAGGCCATGGGGCTGCAATCTATCTTGACTCAGTGGGGCGATCGCGATACGACGGCTTCACCTTGCAGCGTTTGTGATCGCGAGATGGCCCCCCTGGGCCAAGATTTGACCCTGGCCAGCTTGGGGGTGGCGGTAGCTGTCTTGCTCTCCCACCTACCACGGCGAACGCGATGGAGGCTGTCGTCTCTTCTTTCTCGGTTTCGACGGCGACGGGGCCAGGCGACGCGGGAGCTCGCGCCTCTCCTTTTTTTGGTTTTCGCAGATCCTGGCCTATATGCGCTGGCTGCTTTAATTCGAGCGATGTGAAAGTTTTCTGGCTTGGCCCGACGAGCGGCTGTGGCGCGAGATGGTGCGATTGCCGAAGCCTAGCGGTGGTTGTCGGCGCATGACACCCATGGATGGCATGATGATATGGTCAAGGGTCAGAGTGGCCGTCTCACGCAGCTGGGTTGGTGGGCTCTGTTTTGGGCGCACCCTCCCAGACTCAGCGTTTCAACCGATCGTGGAGGCTGAGATTGTGGAGTCCTGCCAGCTGCGCTCGTTGACGGTGCTCATGGATGCCCTCAAGTGATTCGAGACCATTCTCCCCCGGGCCTTGCTCAATGAGGCTCGGGCCGTTGTCGCGGATCTTCGGTTGGTCTGGGTGCTGCTGGGGCTTCGGTGCCAGCCGAGGAGGCTACGTGCGTTCGGGTCGGTGAGCGAGCAGATCGCGGCATGCCGGGGCACTCCTGCGGGCTGCTCGCACGCGTGTTTCTTGGTCTCGGTCCAGCTCTACAGGCCGCTGGCAAGCGCGCGATCCCCCCCGGTTCCCCCGAGAGGTTTGATCGACGACATCACCCGGCAGTGGGTCGCGGAGTCGCCGACGCAGCTGGAGCGCCATTTGGCTGCGGTTACCAGGTTTCGCGAAGGAGCCAAGAGCCTTGGCATCGTGATTCAGGTCGCGAAGTTGGGGCGCGCGCCGTCGAGCTCGGGGGCGGCGGCGGCGCGCAGGGAGCATGGCGGCGCCAAGGGCCTGAAGTGCAAGATATGGATTCGCCACTTAGGTCACGATCTCTGTGGCGCGCGCAAATCTCGGCGGTTTGCTTCGCAGCGCGCTGCGGGCGTTGTGGCCGGGCGTCGCATGTGGGAAATGCTCCAGGAGGATGCGGGGAAGAAGGTCGTTTGCTTGTGGACGACAGGGTGGTTTTGCCCAGTCATAGACGTGGAGCTTGGGTCTTGGGCCTCTCCGACACGCGCCTCACCCAGGTCCGCGTGGAAGCTGGGCGCCTCGTGGGATCTCGGCCTGGTCCGTCAAGTCTCACGTTGTGCTTGGCGACGCGCGCGGCTGCGGAGTTCGACCCAATCTGCATGGCGACGCGCGACCTTGTTTGCATATGTGCAGTTGCGATGCGGGGGCAGAGGGCGTCGCTCAGCCAGATGCACCGCGCGCGGGTCCAGGTCGCGACCAACGTGGTGGCGCAGGATGAAGGTATTTGGGCCTATTCGAGAGGTCCGATTTCGTTCATGATTCTCACCATGTGGCGGATCGATTGGTGCATGTTCTCATCCGCGGTGCTGGTGAACAACGAGGACGAGGAGTTGAACCTGATGGCGATCAGCCTGAAGACCTGCGGTGCCACGTGGCGGAGTCGATCGAGAGGTGGCAGGGCCGTCGCATCATGTCGAGGCTAGAGCACCAGATGGGCGAGCATGCGCTGTTGTGAGCAAGGGCCCCCCGGCCCAGGCATCCAGTTTGAGATCCCATTGGTCCGGAGCTCCGTGGGCGCGCCAGGCCATGTTCGACATGCAGCTGGCAGGCGCTTCCTCTCGTTTGGCGCGTGGGGCGCCGTGTGAATCGCCAGGGCGCAGGTTCTTCGAATGTTGCGAGGTGGCGACGCCTGCGGACGATGCCGATGTTTCAAGAGAGGTAGCGCCTGAGAGGTCGGTAATGATCCGTGACTTCATGCGCGACCAGGGGCTGCAGATGTCCTTCGATCCTTTCGAGGTGGGTGTCTGTGTCCTGCGTGTTCCTTCTTCGTTGCCCAAGGTCGACGCTCGCTTGCCGATCTATTTCTGGGGCGACCGGGGCTCGGCGGAAGAGAGCTTCGGAAACATCGTCTACGCCGGCGGCTCCAGCGGCGCCCATTCCAGAAATGCGGCGGCGCGGCCAGGCGGTTGCGCAGCTGGCGCGGCAGGGGTTGCCACTGCGAACAGCGTAAGGACCTTTACCTGGGCCTCTGCAGACGGTTGGCACGTCCGAGCGGCGCGCGCTGCTCACGGTGGCGAGGCGCTTCGGGCCCAGCTTGGAGTTCGTGCTCACAGACCTGCTGGCGCTGGCGTCCGAGTCGGAGTCGTGGGGGCCTGAGCTGGAGAGCGCCGCTGCGGTGCGTGCAACTGTTCGGTGCGCTCATTGCGGGCGCGTGGCCGACGACCCCATCATTCATTGGATTCCTGCCCATCGTTGTCTCGACGACTACCTGGAGGGGGGCCTCAGCCCGCATGCATGTTTCATAGTTGATTTGCCAGTATGTGCGCCCATGGGCTGCCACAGCCAACGGCGCGATCGAACGACTACCTGGGCAACACGTGGGCGGACTGCTTTGCGCGTCGAGGGGCCGGCGCGCATGCGCCGCCCGAGGTGCGCGAGGATTTCTGCAAGCTGGAGCCGGCTTTCGCCGAGAAGGTCGCGTCGCGCATCGGCAGGTCCACGCACGGGGCGCTGAAGATTGGTCGGCGGGGGCCGCAAGTGTCCGGCGCGCGGCGACGAGCTGCTGAGACGCGCCCACCGCCTGCGCAGGTCACTTATCATCCCATCGTCAAGCTGAGCGACGGGTCGTTTGTGCGCAGGCGGTGCGCCAGGCGAACGAGCTGTCGCACGGCGGCGGCGGGGAACTTCTACCTGCGTTCCCCGTGCCAGGCGAGCCGCTTGGACGCGCTCCGAGCTGAGGCCATGATTCAGTTCGGAGGTGGTTCCGAGGTCCAGATTTCCGCCGCTGGCGCGTTCGCAATGAATGCCCTTGACAAAGCACGCTGCCCTGAATACCCTGGGCGTGACGAGCGCAAGCTGGTCTCGGAGTGTGCTGTTGCGGATATTCATGCATGCAATGAGCACCGTCTCAGACGAGCAGAGCCGACCCTCTTTTGCGAGGTATGCATGGCTTGGTCTGGGAGCGGATTTTCGAAGCAGTTGCTGGCTCGATGCGATGGTGTTCCATGTGGAGAGGGCCGTGGCAAGATCTTCCTCTCCACCTTTAACTCGAGGAGGAAGCGGCTATTGCGAGGCATGCGTTGCAGGTTCCTGGCGTTGTTGCCCGTGGCGGTTCGGGTGCTGTGCTCCTTGCTGGCCTTGCTTATGGGCAAGAACCTGGCGCTGGTGCAGGGAGTGGTTCTGTGCTCCCTGCTGGCCTTGCGAACCTGCCGCTGGTCCAGGGAGTGGTTGAGGCCACGCCGTACGCGGGCTGTCAGCTGGGACAAGTTCGACGGTTGGTGTCTGATCGCCGTCGTTCTTCTGTGCGGACAGCCGTGGGGAGCTTCCTGTGCTGAGCTCTTGCTCACCTTGCTGGATGGCATCGCCTTGGGTTGTGTGCGCCTCGACTTTTTGTTGGGTGGCGCGGTCGTGAGTGCGGATGAATCCTTCACCTGGATTTCGCGGCTATTGCGGGTCTGGCCTGCTGGGCACGGGCCCGTGGATGGTGTCGCACGTCGAGCTACTGCGGGTCCGGCCTGTCCAGATGGGGCCCGCTGCTTTCGATGCTCGTGGTGGTCTCCCTCGTCGTCTTCGGCTGAGGTTGGACGAGGCCCCTGGGAGGCCCGCCGTGCCGCCGTCTGCCGTGCGCTCCGACGGACGCGCTTCGCCTCGTCCCTCGTCCCTCCTCCTCCTCCTCCTCCTCGTCCTCGTCCTCTTCTTCCTCCTCCTCCTCCTCCTCCTCCTCCTCCTCCTCCTCCTCGTCCTCGTCCTCCTCCTCACTCCCTCCGTAGCCATTTGGCTCAAGTCCGCGGCTAGAACCCAGTTTCTTCATCGACCCGCTGCGCGAGCTGCCCAGCGGCGCAGCACCCTGTGACCATTCTCTCTGTGTCATGGGCAAGAAGCCAGCTCAGCAGTATGCGTGGTGCTCGTGTGGAGAGTGGACCTACAATTGGAGGATCGAGGAGCTTGGTGGCAAATGTCTGTTCTGCAAGAAGCATCTTGAGGTGTTTAAGCCCAAGAAGAAGTACCCGAAGTCCGATGGCGGAGGCATCCCGCCATGGAGAGAGCCATCGCCAATTTCATTCCGAGACTTTCTCCCTGAAGAGCTTCGGGCGACGCCTGCCGCGCAAGCGTTGCAGGCCGAGATCGACAAGGCAGAGCACGAGAAGCAGCAGAAGGCCACCAAGGACCCGTCCGCGGCGAAGCAGGCTATGCTCAGGGCGGATCGCATCGCGGAGCAGGAAGAGCAGCGCCTCATCAAGACGGCCAACAGGCTCTTGGAAGCGGAGCAGGCGCTGGAGGAGGCCAAGAGGGCCCACGACCTCCAGATCGAGACCTCCCTCGCCGCCGAAGCCGAGCGTGCGAAGGCCCACGACGACTACTGGCGTTTGGACCCGACACCCAGACGCCACGAACCCAAGGATTCAGCTGCAGTCTTCTTCGAGGTCGATTCCGCCCTCTTCGAGAACATCGATGAGTATGAGGACTCTGTGCAGGAGTCACTACGGCAATGGCAGGCTGAAGTCGCCCGCCACCAGCAGGAGCTTCAAGAGGGCCAGAAGCGCTTCGAGGAGCTCCTCAAGAGTATCAAGGCGGCCGTCGAGGAGCCCGCCAACAAGAAGAGGCGCACCCCTGAGGGTGCGGTGCACGGTGCGACCCCGGCGGCGCGCGCTGACGCGCCAGCCAAGCAGGCCCCGCCGACGTCGCCAGCCCCCCCCATTGTGCCGCCTCCAGTCAAGGCGGCGCCTGCCAAGGTGCCTGCTTGCCCGCCAGCCAAGGGTGCAGGCGCAGCGGCGGCAGAGGCACCGTCGGCGGCCGAGCGCACGGCCAACCTCCTCACGGAGGAGCAGGCCACCGCTGCTCGTGAGGCCATCTCCCAGAACGCCAAGGAGGCAGCGGCCGCGGCGAAGAAGACAGGGAAGCCCGCCACTCTCTCAGCTGCGAAGGAGGGCCTCAGGCAGGCGGTCGGTCGTCACCCCCATGAAGCTTCTCCTGCTGCTGATGGCGCTGCTGCACCCAGTGGCCAGCCGTCGCGGGGGTGACGAGTCACAGGCGACGTTGTTCTTCGGCAACGTCACACAGTGGGGGCCCACAGCCTCCAGGTACATTCACAAGATTCGCAAGCACTACAAGATGGTCGCCCTTGTGGAGACCCACGTCGAGAAGGCGCGCATCCCCATGGAGCGCGAGACACTACGGAAGGATGGATGGAAGTTGGCAGCCACACCAGCAGTGAAGAAGCATGAAGGCTTCTCCGCAGGCGAATGGATATTGGCTCGTAATTTCGTCGCCACCACGACGATGGAGAAGATGCGTACGGATATGATCGCCATGGGACACAAAGACCCATTCAGAGGTTTCATTCCCATTATATGGCACCTGCAATCTGGCAACTTGGTGGTAGTTTCGACGTACTTATCCCCAGGCATGGGAGTCCAGCGCAGGAACGCAGATACCCTCAAGGCCTTGTCGGCCTTTCTTTTCAAGATTCGAGACCCCTGGATCGTCCTCGGAGACTGGAACATGTCGCCAGAAGCATTCGCCAATACTAAGTGGCCCAGCATGATGCAGGGACACATCGTCACGGCTGGCAATGTGCACTTCACCTGCGACCAGGGCACCAATGGCGGCATGTTCGACTATGCATTAGTGAAGGATGGATACCAGGGCTTTGTCAATATTCAGGCGGTACTCACAGTTCCTTGGAGACCGCATGCTGGGCTGGAGATTACCATAGCAGGGTTCAGCAGCAAGTGGTGGCACCGCAGCATTACCTTGATCCCCGCGCTGCCCGCATACTCCAAGCCAAAGCTCCAGCCCCAGGCAGACAGCAAGCGTAGCAAGCAGAAGAAAAAGCAGACTCAACGGCGAGCTGAAGTACTCCCAGAAAAGCTGCAGGATGCGTTCATGGAGATGAGCCAGGAGCAGGACGGCCAAGAACCGACCCAACCGAAGTTCCACATTCTTGAGGACAATTGGACTATTGGACTCGCTCAGGCGGACGCTTTATTGATGGAGGGACTTGATTTCACCTCCCATCCCATCCCAGTCACTCAGGTGTTGGCTCGTGACTTGGAAGGGCAGCACCAGATAGATTGGCATTACGCGAGATGGGTCACGGCCTTGGAGGAGACTATTCTCTCTGTCGAGCCAGCGCCCCAGCGACATTGCACGGGCAGACGCAACGGGTTCCAACTTCAATGGGAAGTTTCTAAGTCAACCCCAGGGCGAGTCCATGTGGAAGATAAGCCTGCTGAGTTATGGGGTGTGATGTCGACCTTGGTCTCACGACTGCGCAAGCTGGTCGCCAAAGGTCTTGACCCAGAGCAGCAGAATGATATACTCAGGCGCCTGAAAGAAATTGGTTCTGGCATCCTCAAGGGCACGCCACTTCAGTACTTCGGCAAGAACAGCGATGCGGATCGCGAAGAATGGATTGACATCTACAGCAGGCTGTGTAACGTAGACCAGGCGCAGATCCAGGCTGAGTACTCCACAGTTATGGCTATGAAGAAGGCCAGTTCGGCCCCGACGCCAGACCACTCCGACCTCGACCCAGGCATCCTGAAGCTCATCAGCCGCACTCCACACTTCCAGTGCTGGCCAGTCTCTGGTACCCCCTTCGCTCAGGAAGGCACGGATGCGGCATCTTCAGATAAGTGTGTCCTGGGAGAGGCACACGGGGTCGGGGGCTTCCCCCGCGGACCCACTAGTCCTACGGCAACGGCTACTTCGTCCCCGAACCCTTCGCCTGCCCTTCAAGTTCTTCTGGCCTCCCAAGGTGGGGATTGTTGTCACGGTGGGCGTCGTCCTGGCGACCCTCAGTCACCTTGGGCGTCCATCCATGATGATGAAGACCTTCCTGGCCAGCGTGAGGGGGAGGTGCGTGAAGGCTCTCCACAGATGCAGACGCGGCATAAGTTGGATATGTGCACGATGGAAGAAGTGTACGGAGTCGGGGGCTGTCCCCGTGGACTCACAACAGCGACGGCTTCCTTGTCTACTTCGGCCACATTGCTGCAGGACAAGGACGGCAACAACGGGAAGGCTTGTCGCACAAATATGGATGATGAAGATGAGATTCCACAATTTCGCCTGGCCCCCCAAGGTAGGGAAGATTGTCATGGTGGGCGTCGTCCTGGCGAGCCTCAGGGAACACCTTGGGCGCACACGCATCTTGATGATGACCTGCCTGGCCAGCGTGAGGGGGAGGTGCGTGAAGGCTCTCCACAGGTGCATATGCGGCATATGATGGATACGTGCACGTCTGTAGATGTGTACGGAGTCGGGGGCTGCCCCCGCGGACTCACAAGAACGACGGCTTCCTTGTCTACTTCGGCCTCATTGCTGCAGGTCGACCCCCCTACAGAGCCCCTGGACCCACAATGCAGGCCCACCAACCCCGAAAGGGGCGGTAGTAAGGGAGCAGAGTGGGGACAGTTGGGAGGCCAGGCGAATGCCGTAGGGAGCGAGTCCGACCTGCGGCACAAGGACATCAACGGCAGCAGCGGCATGGTTCGGCGCACGAATATGGATGATGAAGATGACGTATTCCCCCAAGCTGAACACGAGGAGGAATATCCTCCACAGGATGAAGCGGAACCAGCAGATGTTCCACCTGAACCCAGCGCGCCACTACGGGCGTTGGCAACCCTGTCCCTCGATTTTCTGGACAAGGTCAATGAACGTACGGAGTCCTTGGAGAGACGGGCTCAAGCACGGGCCTTCGCCAAGGGCCAACATAGTTTCATGAAGTGGATACGAGAAACGTGGTCTAAGAAGCCTGGGATCTTGCATCGTTATGTGAAGGACTCCCAGGCGGACACCACGGAAGTTGAAGGCATGGCTGACCCAGATCTCATCATGAAGACCCGCCACAAGTACTGGCAGAATGTTTGGACGGACAAAGTCGACACCATGGAAGACATCGTACATGAGATCGGTCAGACGCTCAAAATTGCGAAGCAGCAGGACATTGACCCAATCACACTTGAGGAGCTGGAGAATGCACTAGCTCGTATGTCGGCAAACAAAGCCAAAGGGGTGGATAACATCAGTGTGAATGACATTGCCAGGCTACCTGTGTCAGGCAAGCAGATGCTAGTGGACTTCTTCAATTTCGCGGAATATGTGGGCTCATGGCCCAGGCAGATCCACGCGACGATAGGAGCACTTGCGGCCAAGCCTAGGGGAGGAGACAGAGTATTGGGGCTCCTCCCCACCATGGGAAAGGTCTGGGGTCAGACCCGAGTCGGACCAGCTGCAGAATGGTCCAAAGGGCTCAGTGACTTCTGGGACACGGCGCTGGCGGGGTCCTCGGCCCTGCGGGCCGCAATGCTACGATCTCTTCTCGACGAAGTGGGGATGGTCAACAAGAAGCATTTCCTGACCCTCCTTCTAGATCTCGAGAAGTTCTACGACAGTGTATCGCTGTGCATCCTTATGCGCACAGCCATCAAGGTGGGGTATCCAGCCATTGTAGTACTCATGGAGGTGCAGATGTGCATCGCCCCAAGGATCCTCAAGCTCAAGCAGTGGGCGAGCGACCTCCTGATAGTCACTAGATCATTGGTGGCAGGCAGCCCCAAGGGGGTCCAACTCGCCAAGGTCTTTCTCCACCCGATCCTTGAGAGAGTCCACAAGGTCGCCCCACAGACGATGTTGGCCACCTACATAGACGACACCGTGGCACGCGAGGAGAATGACGATGAAGAAATTGTTATTGCTAATATGACGGAGGTTGCAGCTGAGTTCAGAGCGGCATTCCTAGAGCACAGGCTGATTGTTTCGGACAAAACAGATTTGATCGCGTCGTCCAAGTCCTTGGGCCTGCGCATGGCCAGGATCATGAGACGGCTTGGCATCCCAGTATCCTACAAGCTGGCGGCCACGGACCTGGGCATCGACGTCAGTGCTGGCCGCAGGAGAGTAAAGAAGAAGGCCAACCAACGTCTCGCTGCAGCTCGACGACGTCATGGTCGTGTCCTTCGCCTTCGCCGTCTCGGACCCAGAGTCCGAAGAGTCTGCAGCTCACTTTGGACCACGGGAGTTTTACCACAGGGCTGCTATGGCCATCAGGTTCTTGGCACGGCGCCCAGCACAATGTTGGAGGTCAGGCGCCAGGCAGCGTCGGCCATTGCAGGTACTAAGCGAGGCAGGTGTCTGACTTCGGTGCTGGAAGCTACCCTTGCTCAGCGCGACCCAGGACTCGAACTGCCGCGTCAATTATTGGAGGCATGGCTGCGTCTATGGTTTGACAACCCACAATATCACAATCCCATTCGGTGGGCATGGTTGCGAATACACAATGCTGTAGTGGTGGGTGGCAGGGCCAGATGGCAGAGAGTACGTGGCCCAGTTGCTGCAGTAATTGCCACCCTCGTCAATGCAGGCTGGGAATGTAAGCAACCAGAAGTTTGGACTCGGACCAGTGCGGGCATTGAGTGGATTTTCCCCAGAATGGGCACACCTCAGTACCTGCAGGTCGATCTTCACGATATGCTACACGAATTCACGGCAGACCTCCGACACCAGCTCTGGAGGAAGGCCAGTCAATTTGAGGGAGCACATGACCTACAATATGGAGCTGATTTCTCTCAGATCAAGCGCGAGCTCGACAGGTTCGAACGCAAGCAGGACATGGAGAACTGGGGCCTCACTTTGACAGTGGTATCTGGAGGCCAGTGGACTCGTGAACGACAACGTGCACAGGGCTACGCCACGGACCCGCTATGCAGACGGTGTGGGCGGGAGGCCGAGACGCTCCTGCACCGTGTATGGCTGTGTCCAGCCAACTGTCATCATGATGCGTACAGAAAAAGTGACAGCCTCATCGCCCGTGCAGTCGCCTCCCATGAGAGCGAGCCCAGCCTTTGGCTCCGTGGGGTTCCCCCCGAGAAGCAGGTCGTGCCTGAGTTTTCGGAGGAGTCTGTGCTTGAGAAAGGGCTGCTTCTTATGGGGAACCCCAGCGCTGCTGTTTCGGACCCCCTCCAGGGCCCCCTAATTGTCTTTGGAGACGGATCTGGAGGGGAGTACTCCAGTGATCCTCGGCGTAGGCGCTGCCGGGCGGGAGTTGCCATTCTCCAGGCGGACCCTGTCGCCGATCTTTCGTGGAGCACTGTTTGGGCGGCCTCTGCGCCTCTGGTGGGCCCCAGACAGACGGTCCCCCGAGCGGAGCTGCTTGCTTTCTGCTTGGCCTTGGAGTTGACTCACGGCCCCCTCGATTATATCACCGACCACCTCCCCCTGTATAGAGCTTGGCAGTCGGGTAGGGGTGTGCGGAAGGCTCCTAAGGGGCAAAATTCTGACCTGTGGGTGAGGATACGTCAGGCGTTCTCTCAGAGGCCTCACCCTGTCCGTGTTTTTTGGACCCCCTCCCACCTCGAAGATGAGGAAGGGGGAATTAGCACTCTCTGGCAAGCTTTCCTGTCTTTTGGAAACGCTGTGGCTGACGACCTCGCCAGTGACTCTGCTGCCCGCGGGTTCCAGTTAGCCACCGTGTCTAAGGAAGTGCCCAGGACGGACGAGCTTGACGTTGTTGCCTGGCTCGTCCGCCGTCGTGCGTCCCAGGCCCTCCAGGACACTGCCGCCTTGGACCCCTGGGAAGGTGAGTGGGCGGGCCCAGCAGTGCCGCGCCAGCGCATATCCCGCAGAGTACAGGTGCTGCGGGACTCCACTCACGCTTTCCAACGCGCAGGTGGCAGGTGGAGGTGCTCCACCTGTGGCGAGCTCGCCACCACCACCGCCTTGGAGGCGGCCGCGAGGAGGCCGTGCCGCCCCCCTCCCATCTCCTCCTCCTCTGCCACTACCCCCAACATGTCTGGGGTCACCATTCGGCGGGAGTCGGGGACGGTGTGGGTGGGGGGCCGAAAGGTTGACCCCGGACATCAGATTTGGTCCTGGGATCACATGAGTTTAAAATGTTGTATGTTATGTGGTTTCACTGCGACCCTCGACGGTCGCCACCTCTCGCGGCCTTGTGGGCCCGCCGCCACGGGTGCGGCGCGGTCCAAGAAGGGTCAGTGTAACCTCGTGCGAATTTCCAAGGGCCTGCACCCGTGCCCCCAGGGGGCGCCTGAAGTGGCCCGTTCTCTTCTGTGATGTGGGTGCACATCTTCTTTAGTAGCAAGGACACTGGTCCTCAGTGGTAATCTCCTGGTAATCTCCTCCTCACTCCCTCCTCCGCCCTTCTCCCCCCCCCCCTTCCTCCTCTTCTTCCTCCTCCTCCTCCCCCTCCTCCTCTTCCTCCTCCTCCGCCTCCTCCTCCCCCTCCCCCCTCCCCGCCCCCTCCCCTCCCTTCTCCCTCTGCTCCTCCGCCTCGCTCCTTCCGAGGGCCGCCGAGGGCCGCCGCCAGCCGCCGAGGGTCGCCGAGGGCCCCGCGGCCCGGGCCGGTGTGTGTGTGTGTGTGTGTGTGTGTGTGTGTGTGTGTGTGTGTGTGTGTGTGTGTGTGTGTGTGTGAAAGGAACCCGTCTCATCCCCTCATCTCTACTCCACTCGCCTTTTTGCCTGCCCTGTCGGCTCAGGTACTGGAAGAAACCAGGACGCTGGTCGCACAGGAGGAAAAGATCCCCATATTTCCCTCCTTCGTCTACCTACGGATCAGGGGTTCTGTAACTTTGTACTCCAACCCCATACACAGGGGGGGTGGCGGCCCGCGCACCGGCCGAGGCGTTGCGGCCCGTGTTCGTGGAGGTGCTGGGGCAGCTGCGGCAGCTGCTGCGCAGCGCCGAGGTGCAGCATCGTTCGAGAGCAAGTCATGGGAGCCCAGCGTATCCCTTTCATCCCGTCTTTGGCGTCGACAGGCGTCAATTGGCGTCTGGGCATGGATGGGATGGTGTGCTGCTGTAACGTCGGTCAGCGTCGATTTAGCATCGATGTAGCGTCGATTCGCGCTGTTTCGCAAGAGCCGACGAGATGGTATGGGAGGCTCCCATGAGCTGCCACCGAAGTATCGTTTGACCGATCCCCATCCCCATCCTGATCAGGTCCTGATCCCCGCCATCCCACTGCCCCTCGGCGGCGAGCCTGGGGGGAAGTCAGAGGCGGCATTTGTTTTGTTTTTAAAAAATCCCCTGGAAGGCTCGGAAGTCCCCCGGCTTTCTGAGAAACGTTTTCTGAGCTTTCCCCGAAAGCGCACAGAACTCTCCAGAAGGTCGGCGCGCATCCGAGGAGCTCCGCCGCCTGCTGAGAAGCAGGCCTTTTCCTTTTCACTTCCGCCCTCGCTCGCCGCTGAACCACACGAGGGGATATGCCCCTCGAAGCTCGAAGTCAATGGCAGAAAGAACAACGCCCTTACCCTGGTTTACGAGGCGCTGTGTTCTGAAACTCCTGTGGGCTGACAGGGTCAACCCTGCGTGATGTGCCGCGTCCTGGCGGCTCCAGGCTTTGGGGATTCCCATGAGGTTTACAAACCACGCACCTGTAACCCAGGGTAGGGCCGTTTTTGTATCCTTCAACGAAGGGGGCAGCCTGTGCCCCCGTCCTGGGGGGGGAGTCGACCGGTGGGGCCCAGGCCACGCCACGTGGGGACAGGGATCGGTGAGACACGACGCCCAGAGGCGGCCTTCCCGGCGTCGAGCCCAGGCGCGGGGGTGTGGGGGGGGAAAATCACACGGGGCAGGAGGAGGGGTGGGAGGAGGAGGAGGAGGAGAATGAGGAGGAAGAGAAGGAGGAGGATGAGAAGAAGGAAGGAGGAGGAGGAGGAGGAGGAGGAGCAGGAGGAGGGAGAGGAGGCGGAGGAGGAGGAGGAGGAGGAGGAGGAGGAGAGGAGGAGGGGTGGAGGAGGAGGAGGAGGAGGAGGAGGAGGAGGTAGGAGGAGGAGGAGGAGGAGGAGGGGAGGAGGAGGAGGGGAGGAGGAGGAGGAGGAGGAGAGGAGGAGAGGAGGAGGAGGGGGAAGAAGGAAGAAGAGGAGGAGGAGGAGGAGGAGGAGGAGGAGGAGGACGAGGAGGAGGAGGAGGAAGAGGAGGAGGAGGGAGGGAGGAGGAGGAGGAGGAGGAGGAGGAGGAGGAGGAGTCTGTTCACAGCGGGTGCGTCTTCGCCTGGTTTCGGGCCCTTTGGAGCCCTCGCACACCGATCGGGCTCGAAAAGTGCTGCAGGAAGATGGGGTCGAGGACCCTGGTCGTGATTTTGATGCTGCGTGGTGTTGCAATGTTGGGAGGAGGAGGGAGGAGGAGGAGGAGGAGGAGGAGGAGGAGGAGGAGGAGGAGGAGGAGGAGGAGGAGGGAGGAGGAGGAGGAGGAGGAGGAGGAGGAGGAGGAGGAGGAGGAGGAGGAAGGAGGAGGAGGAGGAGGAGGAGGAGGAGGAGGAGGAGGAGGAGGAGGAGGAGGAGGAGGAGGAGGAGGAGGAGGAGGAGGAGGGAGAGCACGCGTGCGTCGCCCCCAGGTCGGCGACGCGCGCGCGCTCAGAAGTCTTGCAGCACATGCTCTGTGGTGGGGGCTTTCTGGCCAAGATGGTTACACTACAGGTTCGGGTCGGACGGACGCCTCCGATGAGGATACACAGTGCTAGTACGCTAGGTTTGCCTCGTGTCGACCGGCGGCGACCCCGCCGCCGGCGTTCCAGCGTTGAACGCAGCTGGCGGCCCAGAACCTGTCGGCGTTGGACGATCTGGCGTTTCGGACACGGCCGATCTTTCAGGGTGGAACGATCCTCGAGGTGTCGGGATCCGACGCCAGGGTCGACACGACGCGTCCCATGCTCCGCCCCTGCGCAAGGCAACTCCCCCGCCAGCACCAGCCACGACGCCAGCCGCTCGCACGGCTCGGCACGCTCCTCCCAGGCCGGGCTGCGCTCCGAGAGGGCCTACGGCCGGGCGCAGGACCGCGGCGTCGACGACGCCGACGACGACGACGACGGGGAGGTGGGGCACAGAAGCTGCACCTCCACCGCCACCTGGCCCGCCTCCCTCATCTGGGGCTGGGTAGAGAGCCCCGCCCGATCGCGAGGAGGCCTCGCAGAAGCGGCACGGCAAGTGTACCCCCCACACCAGCCTTCCCCGCAGGAAGACAAAGTTGCACATTGGTTTTCGGGAGTCCGTGCGACGCTTTTGGATTGGCGCTATACCCCCCTGCCCGGCGCGCGGAGCGCGCCGGGGAGGGGAGTATGTATCAGTGAGCGTCGGCTCCATGTCATCCGCGTTCAAAGGAGACTTTACGTACACCAGACCCGGTCGGATAAGAATCATAATGAACCACATCGGGCTGGTTATCGCTAGGTTGCAAACTCCGATTCGCGATAAAAACATGCCAGTGGGGACGACTGAAACAAATTTCCAGGAGTTGCAACATGAGATGTTTTGTTGCGTTCCTCCAAACAGCGCCCCACGTGCAATCGGTCAACAACTTGAGATGGGGTGCGGGACGGGCGCAGGAAGTCATTTAGAATCGCTTCTGCATAACTTGATCCCTTCCCCTGTTTTGTTGAACCGTGTTCTCTGCTCAATTGGTCTCTTTGAGGGGAGTTGCATGAGGGATGGAGGCAGGGGGCGTTGAGTGGAGGGTAATGGGAAAGGATGGACGGAGGTGAATGAAGCGGGGAAGGAAGGTGCAGAAACAGGACGGAGGGGTACATGACTTTTGCGTGGGGGAAGGACAGGGCAGAGGATAACAATATTCAGTCAGAGGAGGGATGGCCAGAGGGAAATATGTCGAAAGGGCAGATGAGACGGGTAGACGAGAAGAGCAGGAAGAGATGGGAAGAGGGGTAGAGGATAAAGGGTAAATGACAGGGCAATTAGGTTCTGGGGTTAGAGCAAACAAGGGGAAGGGCGAAGGTTAGAAGAGGGGCATCGGCAAAGAGGATGCGCATAAGGGGGACTCTTGGAAGGCAGGGGTTGTGATCAGGTCAGGACCCGACGTACATTTGAACACGCCAGGGCTGGCTTTTCGTTTCGATTCGCTCTCTGGCGGTCCCAGGACCCTGGCCCCTTGAGGCCAGACGTTGCCAACAAACATTCAGTTGTGTGGGGTACTCGTTTTGAAGAAACAGCACCCCGCGTTCCCCCTCATCCTTCTTCTTTTCCTCCTCCTCCTCCTCCTCCTCCTCCTCCCCTTCCTCCACCCTTGCCTCGGCTCTCCGCATGTCCACAATGTCAGTGCACCTAGTACATCTTCTGACGTGATTCGTTGTTCGAGGTGCGAGGCGGTCAGGGGAGGACGGGGAGAGACGTGGCAAGTGCTTCCCAGGGCCTCGGAAGTTTCTGGCGGGGCAGCCTTGAGGCGGTGGCACTTCTGGCCCCAGGACCGTCGGGTGATCATTTTACTATTTGTTTTGGCGATCGGCGCTGGCACTCTCTAGGCCTCCTGGATGGGGTCGAAGTAGATGGGGTCGGGAGATCGCTCCAACGTATTTCTAGGGACTCCTAGGCTTAAGTCGGGCGTGTCGCTCTACAGGAGGAACAACAAAATAGTAAAACAAATAATGTGGTATGTTTGTTTTACTACTTTTCTCTCTCATGTTTGAGCATTCTCGGACCACTGCCAATTTTCTTCAAAAATCCGCCCGTAAGGGGGACATGCCCCACCTGATCCGAGGCGTGAGAGGGGTAAGAGCACGACCATGTGCAACGCAGCGTTTTTGGGGAGCAGGGATCGTGGCCCTTGCGACGGGAGTGGGAGCACGTGGTCTTTTGTGCAAGGGCTTGTGGCCGTGCGACATGGGCGAGAGCACGGACACGTGCACCGTAATGTGGTTTTTTTCCCAGGGGCTTTGCCGTTGGACACTGGTGAGAGCACGGCCACGTGTACCGTATGGTGTGTTTTTCATAATGGATCGCGGTTGTGTGATGGGTGTGAGAGCACGGCCATGTGCACCGTACTATCTTTTAACAAGGGATCGTGGTTGCATGACAGCGGCTAGAGCACGGCCATGTGCTCCGTATTGCGTTTCTTTCCACAGGGGATCGTTGCCGTGTGACAGGCAGGGGTGAGAGCAGGACCATGTGCACCGATTTTTTTTGAATTCAGGATCGTGGCTGTGTGACATGACAGGGGGGAGAGAAGGCCATGTACACCGTATTGAATGTGCTACACAAGGGATCGTGGCTGTGTGACAGGGGTGAGATCACGGCCATGTGCACCGTAAGGTCTTTTACGAGCCCGCGACGGCGTGCCATCGATACTGCTTTTGCTCCCGCACGGGTCCAGGTCGCTGCCCCCCGGGGAGTGACCATCCATTTTTGATGGCCGCGTGGCCAGGCAGCGGGCGCCCAAGGGGCTGCGAGCGAGACACAGCGCTAGAACCTTCAGCATCACGGCATCCTCAGAACTCTGCCCCACTTCGGGGTGCCCGGCCGATCTCGCAGGGAGGGGGGACGGGGTTGCCTCATCCGGCCTGGTCCCAAACCGTGGTCCTGGCATCGCTCGGACGTGTGCATTTTCCCTTCGGCGAGGACCATCGAGGAGCATCCTTGACCATTCGGCGAACAAAACCACGCACGAAACCGAAAAAAAGCACAGGGAATGGACGTCCGAGCGATGGCCAGCTGGTGCCCCCCGGCCGCCCTGGCCCGAAGGGGGCCGCCCCCGCCGCAGCGCGCCGGCACCCGACTCTTTTTTTCTCCACGGCGCTCGTTTACGGGGCCCGCCCTCGTGTGCGAGCGGGGCGGCCTGATGTGGCCAGTCTCCCTTCATCTCCCCTCTCTCAGGAGGGGAAAAAACACACAGACACAATCAATGGTCGATCCCCCAACAAATGTGGAAAAATATGGGGAATCTTTTTATTTGTGTGTATTTTTTGTGTGTCCCAGTTCCCCTCTCCTCTCCTCGCTCGGACGTGTGCATTTTCCCTTCGGCGAGGACCATCGAGGAGCATCCTCGACCATGTGGTGAAAAGAACACGCACGAGACCGAAAGAAACACAGGGAAGGGACGTCCGAGCGATGGCCAGGGTGTGGCCGGTCTCCCTCGCCATGTCCCCTCTCCTCGAGCCTCGCTCCTCGGTGCTTCCCCCCCTCGCGGGCGGCGAAGAAGGGGTGATTGCCAGGTGCGGGTGGGCATCGTTCAGGGGCAACGATAGTCAGAGCGTGAATTACCTACCCCGCTTTCGCTTCCAGGCAAAACCAAGCCATACCACGCGCCTCCTCGTCAAGCGGCCTGACCAGTACAGGCTGCAATTTGGTATCGTTTGGTATCGCTTGGAAGCGAGGGTGGTCAAAAGCGAGGTAGGTTTGTCTCCCCCTAAGATAGGGGGGGAGGATCGGCATAGTTAGGGAGGGATGCATCGACCCCCAATCGCCCATGGATCGCCGAGAGGGGCCCGATGGCCCCAGCCTGCCCCGGAAGGTTCGGACTCGCCATCGGGGGCCTGCCGCCGATCTATCGGCGACGTATCCTCGACGAGCAAGTGCCCCCTCCTCCTCCTCCTCCTGCTCCTCCTCCTCCTCCTCCTCCTCCTGCTCCTGCTCCTGCTCCTCCTCCTGCTCCTCCTCCTCCTCCTCCTCCTCCTATCGATGCCTCCCAATGATGGCATCTGCCATGATGATATCTCCCTGGATCTCGTGGCCCACTGTCCTTCTCTCGAGACGTCCCTGGGTCTCCGCGCCGCGTACAATGGCGCGGGTCATGAGCTTCCAGGCGTGCGAGGCTTTGTTTTTCCATGCGGGGTCCCCGGAGGTCCCGACCTTTTCCCCAGGGCTGGTTTTTCATCCCAAGGCGTTCTTTCGACGGTCCCGGCCCGGCGCCCGGTGAGGGCCCCCGAAGGCGGAAATTGGCAACATTTTCCCGCCATGCTTTCTGCACGACGTGAGCATGTTTGGGACCCCCCCTCTTGGACGCCCCCCCTCTTGGACGCCCACCCCCTCCTCCTCCCTCTCCTCCCCCTCCTCCTCCCCCATCCACCTCCTCCGTTCCTTTCCCTTCTTCCCCAAACAGTGCTTGTTTGGCTTAACTATCTCGGGGTGAATGGCAGGTTTTGTGGGCGGTGCCGCCCGTCGCCGCCGTCGCCGTCGCCGCCGCTCGGGGCGAGTGGCGGCTTTTGCGGGCGGTGCCGCCCGTCGCCGCCGTCGCCGTCGCATAGATTCTCCTTTCTTACAAAAAACAATGCCCCCCCTGGGATGATCGCCCCCTTTTTTGTATCGCAATTGACATGTGCTTCTGCCCCATCGTCCATCTTAGATATGAGTTCGTAACATCCCAGCCGAGCAGGCATCGCCCCCACCGGCATCCGATGCCAAACATACTAATGCGCGCACCCGTTTATCAAGATCATCCGCTTAAGTATTACCTTGCCCGAGAAAAAAACGGGACGAAGTGCATGCGCGCGCGTTGTCGCGCGCGCGTGCCGAAACCCTTGAAAACCCACGGTTTCGGAATTGCAAAATCGAGTGTCCAAAAACACATATATAACAAGTGCGGGGTTTCGCAAGAACGATTTTCAAAAAGACCCTGCGCGCGCGCTCTTACGAATGCTTAAGAGACCACGAGTTTTTTCAACAAATTCAAAAATGCTAACTATCGGGCTTCGCGAGCGCATGTCGAAATCGATCGAACACCCTTGCGCGCGTGCCGTCGCGAGAATCCTTTGCCAACAAATGGGGCGAAGTGCACGCGCGCGCGTCGTCGCGCGCGCATGCCGACATCAGTCCAAGAAACCTTGGACTTCGTACCGGTTTCAAAACCGAGTGTCCCACAAACGTATGACAGCGCATGGTTTCGCAGCATCAGTTTTTAAAAAGGCGTTCGCTCGCGCTCTTGGTCATTCTAAAGAAAACCAGAGGTGGTCCAATCTTGTCATGGAGTTCTGCTAGACGGGCTTCTGGCGTCGCATGCCGAAATCATTCGCGCGCCCTCGTGCGCGTGTTGGGGGGGCACGATCCGTGTC